TTATACATGATAAAATTATGTTATTAGTTAAGGAAATTGATTGAGTTTCGTAAACAAATTGATTGAGTTTATCTCATAAGGAAATTGTTTATGTTATTAGATTATGTTATTATCTCATAAGGAAATTGATTGAGTTTCGTAAACAAATTCATACCTGCACACGGTGCGGGATAATTATCTAGTTTTTAGTAAATGATCATAAACTAACATTTCTTACCATTGATCGAGTTTGTTCTTATTTTTATAGTATTAGAAAACTATTTATATTTTGCAGATGACTTTAGTGATTTCATATATTGAGAATTTGGCAGCAGTAGCCATAAGAAAATTTATAATTTAGATGAAGCATATTCAATTTTTTTTTGTCGGCAACGAAAGTAAAAAAATTCAATTTAATAATAGCTGAACTGTACACTATATATACTCCATAGAATATTCACAAGACAATCTGGGCGGAGGGACCCGGATCCAACCCGACTCGATATGACCCGAAACAAAACGTTCAAAATCACGTTGCAGAAACACGTTGAATTCCTCCTTCTCAGCCTCAGTGACGATTCGTTTGAAGCTTTTTGTCTCCAACTATTTCTTCTTTTGTCTTTCACGTTTTGATCGATCGCTTCTCCCTCGCGCCTCTCTGTAGATGTATGTAAGTCGGAAAGTAATCGACTCCATTGATGAGTTTCTGGTTTTTGGTATCATCATCTATAAATTTCAATCGGAAATCAATTTCATGCTGAATTTTCGTTTTTGTGGGTTATGTTTCAGATTCTACTAGTATTATCCTTGAAATGCTTTAACCAGTATATCGAGTACCAAGATTGATCCCTCTACTTTTGTTTTACAATTTAAGGTTTTATCTGTTTGTGATGGTCTAGTACGATATAATCGATATGAAAATCTGAATTCTTATTCGTTTTTTTTTTTGAATGGTTTATCAGTCCCACGATCATGATTTGTTGCGGCTTAGGAGTACGGAATTTTGTTGGGTTTTAGTGATTAAAATTGTCATATATCTATGTATAGAATATCAATGTAAATGACATATCTTGTGTACAATCACTGTGCAGATCGGTATAGAATTTGGCTTTTCTTGATATGTAGCTGTTTCCATTCTGTATATAGAGCTAAACCATTACTGCAATGGCTTCAAGAGCGCTTCTCCGAAAGAGGAAGTACCTTGTCCAATCTCTAAGTGAACATGTGCATACAATTCAATGTCTTTCAAGCGTTGAGCGGCAAGGAAAGTTGGGATATGAGAGTGTTAGGGGTCTGAATTCTGATTCAGGAAAACCTGATTACAAAGATGGGGATTTGCTTTCTTTTCTCAAGAATAAAGAGTCGAGCGCCTCATTAGGGGGGTTGCATAGAAGAGGATTACTCCAGTCTCCAAATTTTAGTAATGGAGTTGGACGATTAGAATTCCCTTACCCTTTAGGGTATAGATTGGTTCAGCAATCTATGTGTTCTTCTGTGGCAACAGCCAGCAAGCCTGAATCAGGAGACAACCATGATAAAAAGGGAGAAAATATTACTTCACAAGCCAAAGAAGCTTCTCCCGAGGAGTGTGATGAAGCAGTTGAGGGGTTAAGTTTGGCTAAAGCCAAAGCCAAAGCCATGAAATTGGAAGAATCACAAAAATCTGATATATCCATTATGCAACGTGTGCGGTCGATTCTTCTTGGAATAGGTCCTGCTTTGAGAGCTATTGCATCGATGAGCAGGTCAGGCTGCAGTTTTTCGATGTGGCTTTTGAGCTATTTGATGCCATCTATGTTTATTGAACGTATGATCTATTCTGCAGGGAAGATTGGGCCAAGAAGCTTCGCCACTGGAAAGATGAATTTAAATCTACCCTGCAACACTACTGGCTGGGGACAAAGTTGCTCTGGGCTGACGTAAGGATTAGTGTAAGGCTACTTGTGAAACTTGCTAATGGAAAAGGTCTCTCTAGAAGGGAACGACAACAACTCACTCGAACAACTGCCGACATTTTTAGATTAGTCCCGGTTGCAGTTTTCATTATTGTTCCATTCATGGAGTTCTTGCTACCAGTATTTCTTAAGTTGTTTCCAAACATGCTTCCGTCAACTTTCCAGGACAAGATGAAAGAAGAGGTATTGTTAAAACCTATTTTACTGTTCTTCATACTTCGTTATATCCTCTTTCGTTACTTTTATTGCTGATTCAGTTGTCTACAAAATGTAGTCGTGAGATATTTCTAGTTATTCTTTTTTTACCGACTGGAATACTAGATTTTTCTGCATGACTATTTGACACTAAGCACGAGATACTTTATGAGCTATATATTTCCACTTTTCCATACTTGTTTTGCCTCTTCCATGCTCATTTTAATGTCCATTGATATAATGCCTTTTTACATTTTAATGAAAAGAGAAGTACCATGGATATTCCCCCTCTAATTATGTAATACGCTTAGGTTCAGAAGTTGCATATACCTGTTATTACAACGATTTTGTATTGCCAGTTACTTCTTTGGAGACTGGCCTGTTACTGTCAGTGGTCACTTCTACCCATGTTATGAGTTTATATTCATGTTTAGATGAAAAGCTTACCTTTGTCCTCAACTTCTAGCAAAGTAGTGCTGAGAATATTCAGTTGGTCGTTTTCTTTTCCCCTTTTATGTGGTAGTAAAAGATCTGGTATGAACTTTAATGTACGACTGATATAGTGTTTTGAAAGTTTTAGTGTTGGAGTTTATCCTGAATATAGTCATAGCCCCATGTTGGATTTAGACGTGTAGCCCTTGATATGTTTTCCCTTGATGAATAAAAATGTTTAAACAAGGGCTATCTGGATACTGGAATATGTTTTGTTTGGAACTGACGTAGAAAGTAAATCATTATTACGGCTACTCATCTTAATGGCTTGATACTGTACAATTAACTCTCAGTTTATTAGTCTTCCAGTGATGCTTTTATTTTGTCAACCCCACTGATACTCTTATTAATGCTGAAAGAAACACAATCATATTGATTGTATACTTATTTTAGTTACATGTATCTGGGAAGTGAATTGGTTTGATCTTTTGTTCTCTCGCTGTTTCCTTTTTTCAAGTATAAAGCTAAAATTCTTGGAACCTTTCTTTTGCAGGAGGAACTAAAAAGAAGGCTGAATGCAAGAATGGAGTATGCAAAGTTTCTCCAAGATACTGTTAAAGAAATGGCAAAGGAAGTCCAAACCTCACGCAGTGGAGAGATAAAAAAGACTGCAGAAGATCTTGATGGATTTATGAACAAGGTTCCCTTTTCTTCATATTTTACACATCTGACTTCCTTCTGTTTTCTTCAAGATGGATTGATAGCTTCATTACGAATTGTACAGGTTAGAAGAGGAGTCGGTGTTTCAAATGATGAAATTTTGGGCTTTGCAAAGCTATTCAATGATGAGCTTACATTGGACAACATTAACAGGTTACGCATTAATCGAAACTGTATATATTGGTAATGGTACTACTTTTGTCCTGGGCTGTTTTGG